AGTTAATCGATGTTTTCACACCAAAGTAAGTGATTGCACAAAAAGAAAAAGCAGTTGCATTTTTAAGTAATTCTGTTACATAAAAATCATCAGTACAAAATCCAAGCAAATAAACAAACTTCGTAGCTGCAGTATACAGGACTCAGCCATCTAGTGAACAATTGTAATACCACAGAGTATCAATTTTATTACTTGACCTGAATCAACTGTTCTAAGCATGCCAATGATCCCGCCGCTACAGCTGATAACAAGGGAGTGATATTATCATCAGTTTCAGCATTAGGCTGCAAAACAATTAAGACAAATCAGTATATACACCAATAATGCAACTAGCCTCACGACAAAAAAAATATTTCTATGTTTGTTATCAAATGAACTCCTGTTAGAAGAATGGCAAAGCAAAAAAAAAATGATTGTCATATATTGCATTAAGCCTCATAAAAGACAGGGATGAGTAACCATTATCCACACTAAACTACATTATCTGAAGTGTGAACATTTTGCATATCAGTATTCTCATATTCATGGGCTAAGCATCCTCTATATTTCATATTTGGACAACAGTGAATGCACATATATGGATCTCCCTCTCTCTCTCTCACACACACCCAAACAGGAGGTATGTGGAGCTCTTTGAGCATCCATAAGCATCTCGAGCATGTACATTAAAAAAAAGTGTACATGTGTCTAAGGAATAGCCATTGGAGACCTGAACTCAAGACCTCTAGCTCCTTGGAGTGGACTTCTTGCTATATTGTCTACCCTTGAGGTCGACTGCTGATACACACCAAGCAGAAGTTGAGATGCAGATCAAAAAGGAAAAAAAGAACAGAAGATCAGAAAAGAGAAGAAGAATAAGATGAAGAACAGGTTTACCAAAATCTCTCAAGGATTAAGTCAAGAGAAAGACAATGAATCGATCATATTCTCAACAAAGTTCACATGCTAATAAAAATAGGGATTGCATCAGTTTTTTACTCAAACATTCTACCAAAACTCATACTACTTTCCTAATAAAGGTTTTTTTTTTTTTTTGCCGAGTATTTCATTAATAAAGAGAAAAGATAGTAACCGAATATGCGGGTACGTGGAGAACCTTACCCCAATAGCCGAGTACAATGATGACAAAATAAAAAGAACCAATGCAATGCATGAAAAATAAAAAGAACAGATGCAATGCACGAGCTACATCCAAGCTTTAAAAATAAAACTAGGATAACCAGAGATGCCCCAATTAACATGTTGAGCAATGAATTCTGGGGGAGATGTCCACCAAGTGAATGACGAAACCGAGATACCAAAATTTGCAAGACCATCTGCAACTTGGTTTCCCTCTCTATATAGACATGCGAGATTTGAATTTGCATTGATTCCATTTGACGGCAATAAATGCTCCATAGGGGTATGCATTCCCAAGGAATAGATGAACACCACGCGCAAGAATTTGAGAGTCACACTCAATCCAAATTCGATTCATCCCAAAAGCCACAACTATATAAAGCCCTTTGATGACTTCCATACGCTCAGCACAAGAAGCATTTAAATCCCCCATGAAAGGTTGTACGTGCCTTTACAAACCCACCGAAAGTGCAGAATATAGCCCACAAGCTGTGGGACAAGAGCAGCCCTTTGCAGCACCATCAGTGTTGAGCTTCAACCACTCCAATGGTAGTTTCTGACATAGCACCTCTTTAATTACCGGGGCAAGTCATCACAGATGTCCTTTGATACCCATCTGTACAAGTATTCCAAGCTCCTCAACAGTATTAAACACAGTCCCAGATTAAAGAATCGCAGATTCCCGCGTAAGAGAGAATTAAACGCTTTGCAGAAGTGAGTGATGGAGGGATGTCATTGAATCTACAATCATTTCGTGATTTTCAGATAATCCAATTACAATTCACCATCATACTTGGTGCCAATTCTTTGAGCTGAGAACTAAGGCTTTAGCTTTTCAAGAGAACCATCTGCTCTAGTAAGGAGTTCCCCACAAAATTGAGCTAAAGTGCATGAGAAAAAATGTGACTTGAGCATTCCAAAGTACAAGGCAATGGACAGAGCAAGCAGACGAAAACCAAGGTAACGCCGCGCTTTCAAATGGCATCATCCAGTGGCAATTCAACCTCCAAAGCAACATAGACCGTCTAGGATGATTAGACTTGTTCCGAAGTAACTTAACCCACGCTTATAGTGGCTGCTTTAATGGAGTAAAATCATAGCCTGATTTTAGTATTAACATACCGTCTGTGGAAGGTTGCCAACCTTGTTGGTCCACCACAGAATTAATCAACTTCACTTCTTAATACGATGTCAAACTGCTAGAAATTTAATTAGAAAGAACTTGAGATTGACCAATCCCCCCCCCTCCCAAAAAAAAAAACATAATATGCAACCTTGGAAGACAATCTAGAAGCCAACAAAGGGTGCATATTACACAGAGCAGTCAAGGGGAACCTAACCAATTATATCTCCAAAACCGAGTAGAACTGCCATCACCAATAATCTACTGGGAATGCTCTTGAATAACCCCCAACTGATTTCGAATTCCTAGCCAAATACTGGTCTTGTAATATGAAATTGGACCAAGGGAAGAGTTTAAGAAGCGAGCACAAAGAAAACAAACGCATTGTTCCTGTGAGCTTAAAAAGTTTCATGCCAAGGTTAGCATGATTGAGAGTAGAGAAATCCCTCACGCCAAGACCACCTTCTTCCACCCGAGCACATACTTTCCTAATAAAGCTCATTCTCCTAAAATTACTAAAATACTTCTATTCAAATAGATTTTTCCAATGGATTAATTGTAAATTGCACACCGAAAGATCATTCGAATCTCAATTTGCACCCTCAAAGGAAAAAATTTTGCATCAATGTGCACCTAAAACTAACAGCCGTCAGTTTACCGATTAAAACTAAATGGATAAATTACACCTAGATCCCCTCGTACTTGTCACTTAATCATTTGGACTCCCTCATATTTAAAATATTACTCCTACACCTCCTATCATTTGTGCAAGTGTAACATATAACCCCTTGTCGTTGATATCTATTAATATAACCGTTAAAAAATATTATTTCATCCTAATAAAAAATTATAATTTCATACTACCCTTTATTTTGTGGGCTAGATATACTCTAAAGTTCAAAATCAAGTTTACCATTTGAATGTCTAGTACATCGTAGGTATTTATATAATGTTATTTATATCCAATGCAATACACCACTTAAATAGAATTATTTTAATGCCCAATTGGGAGAACATTTTTAGTCATATTTGAATTTTCAGGGGATGTAGGTGTAATATTTCAAATGTGAGGGGTCTAAATGATTAAATGACAAGTATGAGGGGTCTAGGTATAATTTATTCATTTAGTTTTAGATGTCAAACTGACGGCTGTTAGCTTGAGGTGCGCATTGATACAAATTTTTATCTTTGAGGGTGTAAATTAAGATTTTTTATCTTTGAGGGTACAAATTGAAATTCGTAGTGTGGGCATCTGTTTCTAAGGATTTTGATGGTATTCCACTCTTTTGCATATTGGCGGATTGAAAGGCCTCATATACCTGTTAAATATAATGATTGTTTTTGTTGTCTTGTTTTTTTGCCACATTTCAAGGTTGGACATCTTGTTCATCCTATCAAATCTTTGCTTTACTATTTTTGAAATTAATAAAATAGTATGGTTTCCTATCAAAAAAAAATACACCTTCCTTTAAACCAACAAATTGTACATCTTCCGACTAGGCTTCCAAAAGTTGAATATCAAACTTATTCATCCACCCAATGGCTACGCCATCAATTCCCCTATGTTGAAAACAGTGTGCATCCAACAATTGAGGAAGAGGACCAAAAAATACTATCTGATTGAGAAGCTTGTTGTCTCAATAATGAGGTCTTCTGTGTTTGTAGCACACATAAGCATTTATTTCTTTTTTCCATCAATGACACATTGTACATCATGATCACCCATCCATGTGTGCCCTAGAATTATGTAAAAAACCTTGAGAGGTAGGAGTACATGATACATAACTATCTTTAAAAACTTCATGAATCGTGAATGTAACTAGGTGCCTTTTATCAACTGTCAAGTTGGTGTTGGTAATCCACCCCACATGATAGGTTCTAGATGTGGTCCACTTTTAAACTCAATTTCTTGCCTCTTCCAACACCAGATTTGTGCATCTCCCAATGTCAATTAGTAATGAGCATATCTGCCCCTTAGGAACCCTTTTTTGAAATATATTTCTTGTGAATAAGCTCGTTATTAACTTTTTTATTACCAACAAATGAAGGAATCATAACACCCATTGAATGATCATCATCCACATCACCCAATACCATCTACTTCTCTAGTTAGGGAAAAAATTGGTAGACTTCTATTTGATACATTGTTAAGGATTATTACTTGTTCATCTCTCTTTGTCATAGGTGCATAAGCTACTATGAGTTATATGTCATTATGAAATCTAAGATAGACTCCCTCGTATCATTCTTACCTCCAATTCCATGTTCATTATGCACCAACAAGTAACATTACATCCCCTCACCCTTTCCCATAAAAAAGAAAAGGAGAACTAGAGATAAGGAGATAAGAGAAGTGAAGAGAAGAAAGACAAGAAAAGAAAGCGAGGAAAGAAACCTTTATTATTCATATAGGAAAAGAGTAAAAAATGAGTGTGACAAACTTTGAGAAGAGAGAAGACAACAAAGACAGGGGAGATAGCTATGAGAAGAGAGAGAAGAAACAAACAAATTAGGAGGCCAAGACAGAAAAAGAATTGTCCATTTATTTTCTATGAGCTTTGCCTAATACTGTTCTACATCAACAAAGCCTTTTTGTAGGCTTCATATAATCCAAAAACAAATTCAAGTTGCAAACACATATTACTCACTATGTAACAGCATCAGCTTATTTACAAAAAGTCCATCTATGACTAAAACAACTAATACTACTTCGATTGCCATGCCGACCTGCAATTAATATCTAGATGAACTTTCAACCTTAACAACCATTAAGCTGTGGATAGCTCAAACCTGTAAGTGGAACCTAGCTAATGCATTACAAAAAGTTCATCATACCGATAACATTAGAAGAGTAGACCTAAGTCAAGACTTCAACCAGAACACATACAAGAATATAAAAAAAAAAATTGATCTCCCCAAACTTTTTAATGGTGAAGTGAAATAGGAAGACACTAAGTTGTTGTAATATGCAAGGCATAAGAATCAAGATTTCACATGTAGTGCTGAAAAGCAACTTTTCTAATAGAAGGAAAGAATAAAAAATTCAAGCTTACATTAGCATGGTGTTCTAGCAAAACTTTTACAGCATCTTGCTGGCCATGACCAGCAGCCCAAATTAGCGCAGTACCAGCATCACTTTGCGAATTAACATCTACATCGTGGGAAAGTAAGAACCTCAGCAACTCAATATCTCCTGCAAACAAGGATGAATTATACTGAATGCGTATTGGGTAATAAACATATAAGAGCCCAAAATGAATACGGTGATGTGCGCTGTGGCTACTCAATAAGTAAGTGAGTAGTCACTATCATGGAAAATGATATTTCATAATTCCCATCCAGGTATAGTATGCAATTATACAATTTCCCACTTTTTTTAGGATTAAAAATCCAAGAAATTAAAATTGCAGCAAAAACTGAACAAACTGTGTATACTTGAAATAATCTACCACCTGCATATGTCAAAGAGATGTCATAATTCTTTATTTCATAGGGAGATTCACTACAACTGCTCCCAGAATAACAATGATATGTATTAGGCATCACAGGATACATCTTAAGCAGTGGCTTGTGCAGTCATTAAAGCTAAACATGATTCTATCTTCCACGTGTCTCAATTGTTATTTACGATTACACTAGCAATATTAACCTCCCTACTCTGAAGGAGAGAAAAATGTGTATATTTCTTAATATTTTTGCCTTTATTCATCCAATATATGGTTGGCTAAGAGGAAGCAAAGTACTACGAAAACTAATCTATTAGGTTATAGTTTCGTATTTTAATTGACACGCACTAATACAAGTATGTACTAGCCCATACGTCGAACCAAAATCACAAATTTTCTCCCACCCAAGATGGCACTAGTAACCCAAAAGAATAAGAAAAATATATGGCTCGTCAAAACCAGACCAAATACAGAATCATTTTCAATTCATCTAACAAGCGATCCAATATACCAGCTCCACGTGTGTTGTATTTTAGTGCCTATACTTTACACAGCTAGTCCCAAGCCCAATAATGGAGAAGGGATGCATTAGGTAGATCATAGCCGGTTCAACAAATAAAAACGCAAATACTAAGGCATTCCCCTAAAGTAATGAGTTGCACCCGAACCCCAGTGTTTTCAAATATGAGTGAGAGGCACCGCATTTTTGTCACCCAAATGCGGTGAAAAATATACAAGAGTTCTCACATTACTTTGGATGAACACAGGTAAAGAAATTAATCCAACATACTAAGTTTAGATTAGCAACTACAACAGTATCTGAGAATCAGTTTGTTTTTATGACGGGCAAATCAACAATCGAAGCTATAAACTTACTTCAAATACTAATGGTAAGTTATAAAAGAGAAAAATAATAAACTTCATATGGATTTTATAAACTTAGAGAAGGCATATGATAGAGTCCTTAGAAATATTTATAGAGGATTCTAAGAAAGGAAAAAATTACTCTTAGATGGCAGGAGAGTAATGAATTCCCAATCACTTTAGGCTTACATCAGGGTTTTGCTTTGAATCCATATCTTTTGCATTTCTTATGAATGAATAGACTACACATGTTCCAGATGAGCTCCCATAGTGTGCTATTTGTGGATAATATCATACTGGTTGACAAAAGTAAAAAATAATAATAATAAGCTAGAAATATGGTGAGAACCTCTAGAATCAAGAGGATTTAAGATTAGGAGGACTAAAACTGAGCATATGGAATATACCTTTAGTAAAAAGAAGAGGTCCAAATTGAGAAGTAGTAATAATTAAAAATCAAAAGATGGCGAAGAGTAAACATTTTAAATATTTAGGGTCTATTATTCTCAGAGAGTGAGATTGGTGATGATGTTACTCATAAAATTAATACATGATGGAATAAATAAATGCATGCATCCGTTGTATTATAGATAGAAACATATCCCTTAAGCTAAAAGGAAAATTCTATAGAAAAACCATAAGAGTCGCCATGCCTTATGATACTAAGTGTTGGTAACTAAGAAACAACATCTACAAAAATAAAGTGTAACAAACATGAGAATGTTACGATAAATGTGTGGTAAAATTAAGAAATATAGAATTAGGAATGATGAAAAAGCAAAGATAGCACTTATAGGAAATAAATTAAGGGAGCATCGACTTTGGCTGGTTTGGACACATTTATAAACAACCTACTACGACACTGGTAAGAAAGAGTGATATGATAGCTATTGACAACAAGAATATGGATAAAGGAAGAACAAAATTAACTTTAAACGAATAGTAAATAAAAAAATGGCAAAAGAGAATTCATATAACTGTCCCAGAAATGTTGAGTAAAGACTTTGTTGAATTGAATTAAATTGTATTAAATCAAAACCAAATTTTGGAATTGAACAACATAATTACCAACGGGAAACTAATGAAAATAAGTTTTTTGGTAGAATTAGGATGTTCAAAGTAAAGAATTCATTAAATAAAATGAAAATTGGAAAAGCTTTAGCAATGGATGGTGTACCAATTAAAATTTGGAAGTGTTTCAAAGATGTCAGGGTATTTTGGTTAACTAAATTATTTAATAAGATTATAAGAACTAAGAAGATGTCAAATAAGTGGAGGAAGAGTATTTTAGTACCTATGTATAAATACAAAGGGGACATTAAGAGTTGAAAATATAATTGAGGTATTAAATTAATGAGTCATACAATAAAACTTTGGAAGAGAGTGGTGGAGCAACGATTAAGGCTTGAAAAAACCGTATCTAAGAATCAATTTGGGTTTATGCAAGGCAGGTCAACAATGGAAACTACATACTCACTTATGAGACTAATTGAAAGATATAGAGAAAAAAGAAAGATATTCATTTAGTGTTTATAGACTTAGAGAAGGCATATGATAAGAGTTCCTAGGGACATATTATAACGGGTTTCAAAGACAAAGAAAGTTACAAATAGTTATATTGATATAATTTAGGAAATGTACGAGGGTGCAATGACCTTAGAACAACTGTAAGTAAAAGTAGTGAATTTTCAATCATGAAAGGTCTACATCAAGTTTTTGCTTCAAGTCTATATCTATTTCCCTTAAATATGGATGAATTGAAAAGACACATTCAAGATGAGATTCCATGGTGTATATTATTTGTTGATAGTAAAGTTTTGATTGATGAGACAAAAGTAGGAACTACAAATAAACTAGAAGTTTGGAGAATCAAAAGAATTTACAACAAGTAGAAATAAAACCAAATATATGGAATGTAGTTTTAGTAGTAGTAAAAATTCAAATAAGGATGTACTAAAGATAGAAGATGAAGAGGTACCCAAGAGAGAACACTTTTTGTATTTAGGGTCAATTATCTAAATGGACAGAGAGAATGAAGGCGATGTTAATGATAGAATTAAAATAGATTGGACGAAGTGGCGAAATATATCGGGTGCATTATGTGATCACCACATACCCCTTAGGTTAGAAAGTAAATTTTATAAGACAATCATTAGACCAGCAATGTTGCACGGTACAAAATGTTTGGCAATTAAGAAACAACACACTTAAAACTTAAGTATTGCAGAAATGAGAATGTTATAACGAATGTGTGGTAAACAAGAAATGATAGAATTACATTAAACCGTACAAGTAGCACCAATAAGAGATAAACTGAGAGAGAATCGACTTATTGGTTTGGACATGTTTATAGAAGACCTAGTAATGCCCAAGAGTGATTCAATACATATCGATGGTAATCCAAGAGGTGGAGGTGGAGGTAACTCTAAATGAAATAGCGCAAAAAAATATGATAACTTATGGTCTAACTAAAAATATGGCCCTTGTTAGAGCACAATGAAGAAATATGATTCATGTAACAGACCTCCAATAGTTGAAATTAAGTCTTTGTCGAGTTACTTGACAAGTTACTTTGAGAAGTGAACCAACATATAAGGGCTAAATTAATACCGAACCCAGCCACCCCATATCGGCCACCTCATCAAAAGAAAACAAAAAGCAAAAAGATGAAAGAAAAATAAAGTAGGAAAGAAAACATAGGTCAATGGGAGGGGCAAGATGTTCGCTTCTTTTGATTATGAAGCCAATGATGACCACAATACTGACAAAAAAATATTTTAGACTGCATACTTTTTTTTAATAAGCAATAGAAATATCTTCCTCAAAAGCAAGATCATAGAAATAGTAGACAACAAATCTGACTAAGTACCAAAAACATAAAATTGAAAATTACAAAAGGAACTAACCAAAATTAACCACCACTAAACCCGACCTCATTTTAATCATGCTTGATATAATTTCATATCTAAAAGAGGAAAGGCATGACATGAACCAATACTATATAACAGGCAAAGCATATGAAAAACCAAAAAGGAAATGGAAAGCAAAGAAATCCTACTGATGTCAGCTACATAAATCCAAGTATACTAAGATGCAAACTGCACCGACAGTATCACCATTATTCCATTGAGGCTTTTTGTATACTCTGATACAAGTAAAATAACAGATTCAATATGGGTGTTGAATGTAGAATGGTATACATACTACTACTTTTTTGTGACAGGAAATAAGTTGATTATATTAATGTAGAAGTAGTGAATCAGTAAATATGGAAGGGTGGACAAGATATCCAACCTAAAGTAAAAACAAAAAAGAAACAATACATAAAATAAATGAGTCATATGGTGCACTGCACTCCAATCTGCAAAAACGCAAAAGTTGAATCCCCTCAAAACCCTTAGTAACCAAAGCCCAAAACAATGCCAAAAAGTGAATGTGAACCCATAAGCTTCCATCAACTCCCATCAGTTGTCCAATATTTTGGCGTTCCCTTCCTTCCAAAGAACCACAACAGTAGTAAAGATTTCACAATTCTATAGAATCACCCCTTTATTATTTATTCCAAAACCCCTTAAATCAACAAACAAGGAAGATGTTCCAACCTTGGTTCCTACCACCACCATCTGTTTCTTACTAATTGAACTACTTTTTTAACTATAATTTACTAGGATTTTGCATATCACATGTATAATTGAGTGATCATTAAAGTAAATCATACACTTGGTCAGGAGCTAGGAAGCACGGATATGGACACGGTTATCGTATCCGATACAAAACGGATACAGGAATACGACAAAGTTCTAAAATATAGGACACGAGTACGGCAAGGATACAGCTAATTAAAATAATATTATATATTTTTTATACAAATAATATTAATAATAAGACCTAAAAATCCTTGAGTAGTTGGTTAATATTTTATAATTAGATAATGGGCTAATATTAAATTGGATAGTTGACTAATATGTTATAATTGAACAGTGGACTAACACCAAATTTGAATGTGGCCTTAGAACAAAGTGCACTGTGGGTGATAACTAATAAATGAATTATACCAACAAAAAAAAAGAAAAATATAAAAAAAAACTTGTATGTTCTTTTTTTTTTCGCCGGTATTGTCTCTGTTCAATCAAGGCGAGGGAAAGAGAGAGAAGAAAAAGAATCATTGGGCAGCCGACACCATCTCAGGAAGCTAGAGGAGAAAGGAAAATAAAAGGATGCAGATCCGATCATTGAAGCACATCGTTGAAGTAGATCCTTGACGGCAGATCGTTGAAGCTCGTCGAAGCAGATCATTAAAGGCAGATCGTCGAAGCAGATCCGGTATGTCCATTCGCCTCTTCTTCTCTACTCTCTGTCAAAAGTAGATTTGGCAAATTGTCGAAATTTTCTTTCTTTTTTTTCTTCTTTTTCTTCACTTATTTTCAGCCCTTATCCCCATATCCCTACGTATCTGAGCCGTGTCCGGCAACAAAAAATCTCTGCTCGCTGTTCAGGACACCTTTAGAAATGTCGGACACGTGTCCAGCTGTGTCCTACGCATATCTGTGTCGGACACGTGACACCGCCACGTCGACTTCCCGTCGAGTATCCGTGCTTCTTAGGTCAGGAGTCAAGCTTTTAATTTTCTCAATAATTGATACAGCTATCACTAGTATATGTGCCACCTTCTTTTTTCTTCGATTTACATGTGTTTGATTGTTGATCTTTAATTACAGATGATAGTGAAACCAATGTGGCAGCTTGTGTTTCTCCATGATCACAGAAAACCCGTCACAACATCTCATATTGAAGAAATCATCAAGCATGAAAAGAAGACAATGTCATTCATTATAATAGAACCACCAATATCTAAATATACAACTTCCTAAACATATAATGTTCTCTATAGACCATTATAATCTTGATATCTCATGTTCCATTGCTAGTTGTGTCCTATTCATCAAGAAATGGTAAAAAATAGATTGTATTTCCAACCATGATTACAATAAAGCTTATCTTTACAAGCTATTAATGTCACCGTGAAAAAAAAAACGTCAACATGCAAAAAAGGGGATAAAATCACATGTAACAATAAGCTTCTAGAAGTTCGTTGACCCCTAGCCTCTTATCAGAAGAATCTCCCCAAAAAGCCAAAAATTGTAATGTTAAGCCTTAACCGGCACAATCCCTGCCCACAGCATGCTGAACGCTCATCATTCATTCTCTATATATACTTTTTGCATGATAAATAACCAAACTCAACAAATCTCATAAAAGAAAAATTAAAGCCTCATTTAGCAAACCAAATGACTTCTCTTTAGCAAAGAAAAATTAAAGCCACATTTAGAAAAATAGTAGTCATTTCTTCCAAGAAAAGCCATAAAGGTGGAATTCGAGGTGTTGTCTATCCTTCACATCTGGAAAGAAACTACTTGAGGAGTATAATTACGTAATAGATTATTTCAAGAAAGGGGAAAATAAAACACCTATTCCCGCAGCATGGTGCAGAGCTGTGGCCCCCAGTTCACTGGGTATTTCAGGATCAGCACCGCACTCAATAAGGTATTTGGCAGTGGAAGTATGTCCTTGCCGAGCAGCATGAATAAGAGGAGTTTCACCTGTCAAGCAATGGAGATTCCAAAACATAACCAAAAGCAGGCTAAACGAAGCATCCATATCCTTCATTTATTAAGGGACTCCCCCCGCCCCGCCCCCCCAAAAAAAAATATATATATATATATATACACATCAAAAATGAAAAACCAAAATTATTTCTCGTTCTTATTATATGAGGATCATAAAACCACTAGATATCAACTGGTACAAGAATATCACATTAGGAGCAAGAATATCATCATAAAGCTGGGTGGAAAGCGGATTTAGTTAAAGACCATTGCTTAAAAGTTTAGCACAATCAGAAAACCAAGGCTGCCGACACTCTGTCAAAAGTCATAATATCATAATTCGATTAAATTAGACATGTAATCTGAAATTACATTCACATAATTCTCTAATCAATAAAGAGTTACACCAACTACTTGCCAAACTAATAAGTAAACCTCCAATTTTATTTTGTCTAGACACACAGCTATGCTTGGAGATCAGCTAGAACTAATAAATCAAAATGGTGATTAACAGTAGAATTATCCAATCGAAAAAACAGTAGGATTAGCCCCTTTCCCTGTTCTCACAAAAAACAACTCAGTTAAGGGGCCAACAGAAAGTAGCTTTTTTGGTTTAAGTAATAGAAAAGTAGATTGCACTCTTCCAACACAGATTTAATCACTTTGTTGTTATTGTATCTGTGAACTCGAATTGGTACTAATATGTTCACAAATCAAAACAAAATTAACATTTAATGTGTTTGTGCATGTGATATATGTATATGTATACACATATATAAGCTCAAATAATTATTAACATACTGAATAATACAAATACCATCTCTTCCATTTGTACCAACATTAAACTTCAACAGGGACCACGGTTCAGTGCTTAAAAGTCGGCCACTTTATATGATCAAGGATAGGTTGGCACCCAATTTAACTGGATCCATTAATGGTACTAAACTGGTGCAAATTTCATGTTCATAAATAAGCACACTGCTGTGGGTTTCAACATTAAAGCAGCCACTTTATATGATCAAGGACAAGGATAGGTTGGCACCCAATTTAACTGGATCCATTAATGGTACTAAACTGGTGCAAATTTCATGTTCATAAATAAGCATAGATAATTCATTAAGATATCGAATTTAATACCATCTTCGTCTTTTGTATCAACATCGAGCTTCAAGTCCTCCAGCAAGTACTTGCACACCTCAGTCTTGCCCTCTCTCGCAGCAAAATGAAGAGCCCCTCGCTTGTTAGCGTCCTTTACATCAGCCACCGTTTGCGCCAGCCCCCTCCCATCGTCCAGTTGCGACGCTAATTCTATACATACACACGCAGAGACACCCAATACAATCATAATAAAAGCACTTGAAAAACTAGCCAATTATTATCCGTTGAAGTTTAACAGATTTTCGAGCATACTCTTGAAGAGGTCAAGATTTCCGGTACGAGACGCATCGAGAAACTGTTGAACTTTTTGCCTCACTGAAAAATCAAAAGACAAATATATCAATCACAAAAGAATGACAGTAGTAATGCGAAATACTGTGATGTTTGTATTGTATCTGCACAAGGAGAAAGAAAGAAAACCAACCTGCAAGAGCATCAGAAGCATCAGCAGCCATTACAAAAGAGACAGAGACAGAGTGTGTAGGTGGGGGAACTCTTCTGAAACCCTAAAAGCCTCTGTTGAAGTCGTTGAGTTTCGTACTTACGCTTTGCAGAGAGAGACGGCAGTAGTCTTGCGTCGTCGGGTAACAGCAGTTTGAAGACAAAAGTCGGCGAGAAGTAAAGGGGGAGGAAAACTCTTCAATGACCGCTTGGGCTTTGTTTGGAGTCTGACACTCCGACGAGTCGGAGGAATCGGCTCAAAGACTCTCAATGTCCAGATCAAATTTTTAAATTTAATTATTTTTTTTAAATGCCTATAAATAGATATTAAATTCAAATCTTTTTATTTATGCTTTTCATATGAAAATCATATTTCTAATTGACTTAAATGAGAAAAGCTATAAATAGAATTTAAAAGCAATAAATGAATATAGTGCTGAGAAGTGCATAGAAATCCATATATAAGTTTTCTTTTATCTTTTAAAATAATTTATGTAAAATTGAATAAATTATCTATATAATAAAGTAGTTACTTGAAAAAATATTGATCTGATGGTCTTAAAATGAAATTTTCTCTCCCCTCAATTTTTTGAGTAAGACTTTCATTCATTTCACAATTATAAGACTTTATCTATCTTATAACTCTATCGCTCTCTATCTTATACTACACATTAATTAGGTCGTTATTTATGATTCTAATTAAAGATTATTTTTAAAAATTTTAAATAAACAAATGGACTTTAAATACAAATTTTGTAAGTCTTAACAAGTCAAATGACTATAATATTGGTCATATTTTATATTAAAATAAAAATACTATAATATTCGAATGGTATAATAGGTGAATAATATATATATAATGTAATTTATCTATATACTAAGGGTGCTAGCATTATTTGTCTTAAACTTTTTGCGACTCAAATTATTTTAAAATTATTGATCAAACGATCGAAATTTCTCCTCTAAATTTTATTTTACTCGATTATCAGTTCGAAGTGATTATAGTTAGGATTCGAATTGAGTTGAATTTAATTATCGAGTATAAAGTATATATTTTTACTTAAACTTAACTTTACTTGAATTTTATGAATATTTAAGTTGAAGTCAAATTGAAATTGATTGTAAAAGTAATAAAGAATAACCAAATAAAAAAAAAAGTTATGGCAACACAGTGAACAAGAATAGATAAGAATTAGTTTGCAGGTTAAAGATAGAAGTGTTAATTGAGTCAAACTTAAATTCAATTCTCGATTTGACGTAATTATGATTAAGACTTAAATTGAGCTGAATTTGATTATCGAGTATAAAATATACATTCCTACTTAAACTTAAAGGGTGGGGTTATTCCCACCCCCAAATCTTCATTATCACCCTATTTAATTTTTCATTATCACCCTATTTAATTTTTCATTATCAAACTACTAAATCTACCCTTTTTAAACTCACCACATGCTACATACCCCTCTTTTAAAAAGAAAAGAACAAAACAAGGAAAAAAAAAAGAAAGGAAGAAGCAAACCGAAACAAGAAGGGAAAAAAAATCAAGCAAAGATTAAAGGAACAAGTAAAACTACAAGATGCAAAATCGGACATAAAAAAAAGTATCAAGCACAAATACAAAATCGAACAAGAAAAAAAATAACAAGTATAGATGCAAAACCTAAACAAGATAAAAAAAAAATAACAAATAATCTGAAAGTATACACATATACACATACATATAAATTCTAAATAAAAAATCATTAAATTGACAGAGATATCAAAACATACCAAAAAATAGCGAAAATTCACATAACAAATAGGAAATCAAATATATAATTAAATTGAGAAGTAATATTAACTTATATCTCACTGAAAAAATTTATATTAAAGTATTTTTGTGAGTGCATGAGATGAAATAGAAAATAAAACCATAATTATGACAAAATATAATGTAAGTTTACTTATTAAATGGGGGTGTATGTAGCATGAAGTGGACTTAGTTAATAATGGGTGTGGGTATAGAAGGAGTGGACTTAATAGTTTGATAATAAGAAATTACATGGGGTGGAAATGAAGATTTGTGGGGTAGGAATAACCCTATCCAAACTTAAATTCGATTGAATTTTACAAATATTTAAGTTATATTTAAATGGAAACTAATTTTAATTTCTCAACAAATTTATTTACATCTACGAGAATTCACATGAAACTTTGGATGATTTTCTCACAAAAGTTACATGAACTCACATTAAAAAAATGGTATAGAGATAATGTTATGAACTTTAGATAGAAATCTACAAAAAAATAAATAGTTATATTTTTTTGAAATTTGAGATAAATTTTATTAAAAATGTTAAAATTGTGGATGTTTGATCAATAATAATTATATTTTCTCAAATTTTTGAATTAATATGTTGTAGTAGTTGTAGAGTGATTTTCGTTATACAAAAGTTTGATTATATATGTTCTGCATATAGGTTGAACAATATCAATTTAATCGTTGCATTGTTGAAATTGTATTATACATTGTCTTTATTTATGAAAAAATATTTACACTTTTTTACGAAACGTAATGCCTTCAGACACTAGTAATTACTAGTCTGTCTGTACTACTAATAAAAGCAATTTAACATGAAAATTTTTGATTTACTATTTTACCCTTATAAAAAATTACAAATGTCACTTTATCCTTCCACATTTAATTATTTAAATTACCATTCTTATGTATTTAAATTTTCAAATTACTCTACCATATCTTTTAATTATTTATTTTTTATGTATAAATATCAATTTCTATAAAAAAAAAATTGATTGACTGTATTATCTTTAAAAATATATACATTATTTAATTTTTAATAAAGTGTTCAAAAAACATTAAAACACTATCAATCTAATATTACTAAAAAAAGATAACTTTTCTATCGAAAAATTTAATCCTTCCATTTCTAAGATAAAAAATAATCATTTGTGTAGTTTTTAAAATCAATTTATGTTACATCAACATAATTTTTCAGTTACAATAAATTTATCAAACTATATTAAGATTTAATGTAAAAATAGATTTTATAGTGTATTTTTAATTAAAATTTTATTTTTTTGGAATTCTAACATGCTTTATAATATATAATATAGAATAATATATTAAATCTTATCACAATTGACCCAACTAATTATTAATTACAGCAAAGTGTCAACATGATTAATATATTGATAATTATTTTTATTTTATTTAATGAATTAGAATTGAAACCCTAATTAAATGAATTTTAAAAAATTAATTATCAAACATCACTAAAAAAATCATTCTCAATCCAAAAATTCTATAAAAAAAAATAGAATTTTAACTATTTTTTAAATCTCTTACTGTGAAAACAAAGAATCTTAGAAACATACAAAGTTTTTATAATTCTATAACGGTATACAAGCAATAATTTTTTTTTTTTGATAAATTTTAGAAAATGTTTAATACAAGTATACATATACCAAATACTTTTTATTAATTTTTGTGTACGAACTATTCACGTGCAACACACGTGGTGTATTTAAAAAAAACAAAATATGATCTTGGATGGCCCAATATGAATCTTGGGCATGGCAATTGGGCCATATAGCTTGAGAGAGAGAGAGTAAAAATGAGAAAACAAGTATAGTGAAAATTGGGGTTGAGTCTTCCTACATAGATTTATAATGATTTGAATCTGTCAAGAAAACTTATTTTGGAGTAAGTCCGTTTTTAATTTTATTAGTAAGGAGTTAAGTCCAATTTTTTTTTAATCTCAAAAATACCCTTAATAAATATCCTTAATAATGTTAATTTAGTTAGTTATGGAAAGTTGAAGACATTAGCTGCAAGGAGCTATATATGGAGGCCAATGATTGAATATGAAAATACTTGATTTATGATGGTAATTGTCAATTACAAGCTTTTCATAATACTTCAAATTCAAATTCTTAGTCATTATTTTGTCTATTATACATTTAAATAATCAACTTTCAAAATTTGAGGCTAATTTGAAAGAGATGAAGATTGAAGCTGGAGTACGAGCTCGATATTTTGAAAAAGTAACATAGACAGTGCACGCCAAGTACTTGATGGTAGCATAGTAACATCAGTTTAATAACATCACTTTCAAAATGTAATTTATTAACACATATTACTATTTTTTTCTCATGTTACTATTTTTTATTGAGCATGTTATTACTTTTTAAAAACCACTTTTTTGAATGTTGAAGAAATTATGGCTTCTTCATCTGGTTATGGGTTTGAATGTTACTATTTTTATTTTAATGTTCCATATTGCTATTTTTTTTGTGAAGCATGTTACTGTTTTTGTTAAGTATGTTTCTGTTTTTGTTAAAATATTATTATTTTTGTTGAACATGTTACTATTTTTGTTGAACATGTTACTATTGTTATTTGTTAAAAATATTAATATTGAATGTTACTATGTTTTGTGTTTAGATGGTATTATTTTTTGTGTTTAAATGATACTTTTTTTTTTGTATTTGAATGTTACTTTTTTTTATTTTTTATTTTTACTATATATATAGTGCTAACCTATATATAGATATAGATAGATACGAGGAGAAAAATTTAAATATTAGTCAAACGCTTAAAATTTTTGAGTTTTAATTTTTAATTTTACTTCACTTCTAAAGGGAAGGGATAGTCTAGTAAAATTGACAAAAAACAGACTTCATAACAAATAAGTTTCTTTAATGGACTTAAGTCCAAATAAGTCCATATAAGGGGACTGACCTTCAAATTTCCCAAAAATATATGGGGACAAACATTCTATTATAGGTCTTATTATTTGTGTAGGTAATTTTTTGGAATTTTTGGAGGCCAATTCCCCTTTGGATATTTTTTGGTTTTAACTTTATGCGAAAATATATAAGGACTATATGGGCACTTTGTGTTAAATTGACTAAACTAACCCTAACTCCCATTTTAACTCACATAAAACCATAATTTTGGTAACCGAGATGTGGATCATCAACAATTGCTTGCTCATTTGAAAAATGAAATACA